CAGATTACCACAAATTTGTTTTCTTTCTTTTTTTTTGGTACTAGGGATCGAACTCGGGACCATGCGCTTGCGAGGCAGGCAGTGGAACCACTGAGCTAAATCCCCAGCCCACAAATTTGTTTTCTTATAAGAACATACACTTATTAATCTCTTACTATTCTGGAGATTAGAAGTCTGAAAGCAGTTTCATTGGACCAAAATCAAGGTCATGGCGGGGCCTCACTTCCTCTGAAGGCTGAAGGAGAGAATTTATTTCTTTGACTACTCCAGCTCCTAGAGCTGCATTCCCAACATTCTTAGGCCCCTTGTCTGTGACTCCATCTTTCAGTCCAACAATGTAGCATCATTGGTCACATTGCTTTCTTCTTCTGTAGTCAGATATCCCTCTTTTATTGGAACACCTGTAATTACATTTAGAGCCCATTTAAGATAATCTCAATCTCAAAATAAAAAGTTGATACTAATAGATATTGTGCTTAGAAGTAATGCCTAATATAATGCTAATATTTTATAATGTAGTTATATTTGTGATCTAATTTCTCTTCAGTTAGATGCTAGTGAACTGTTTCAGAAAGGACCGGTTAGTAAGTATTTTTGACTTTAAAAGTCATCTGGTCTCTGTTGCAGCTACCTAACTGCTGTTTTAGTGCAAAAGCAGCTATAGACAATACTTACCTGAATGTGAATGGCTGTGTTTTAATGAAACTATTTCCACAGATAAGCAGTGAGGTAGAATTAGAGTTAAATGATTTCTAAATGATTTAGAATTATAGTTAAAATTTCTTTTTTAAAGAAATAGATTCCTTCACCAAGGATTAGTTTCTAGTCTTTACTCAGAAATCATAGTTTTCCATATCTGATTTAAAAAGATTATCTTTTCATTGAAGATTTAATCTAAGATACTTTCTAGTTCTTCCCTGAAAAATACAGACCAATATAATGTAGGCATTGAAAACAATCTTGAAGATGAATGAATAAGTGAAAACTGTATGACCAAATATTTCTCAATTGGAATATGCTTGGAAGTTTAAACATTTTGTGATTCAATGATAATCAAAAAATTTTCAGCTACTTGATTGCAATGCCAGCATCTGTATTAACTATTAGGTTGGGATCAAGAGATCTCTTTTATTATGTAGGCTAAAAAGAATACAACTAAATATCTTAACACTTTTGTAACAAATGAGGGATAAATATATGCTGTATTATATGAATTTAAATGTTTGTAAAAAGTAGAGGAAAAAAATATTGAGAGAATTATGTTGTCAAAATAATATAGGTTTGCTAAACTTTTGTAAAGAAAAGGTATTGTAACAGGATTAGTTTTACTTTTAACTTGGGACCAGTTATTTAGATGGAGCAGAAACCAGACATCATATTAAGTGGGTGTACCTTGAAGTTATTGCAGGTTCGGTCCTAGGCTATACAGTAAAGTGAATATTATAATAAAGTGAGTCACACTAATGTTTTGGTTTTCCAGTGTACTTAAAAGTTATGATTATATTATATGTAGTCTGTTAAATGTGCAATAGCATTATATCTAAAAATGTAGTTACCTTAATTAAAAATACTTTATTGGTGAAAAATGCTACCGATCATGTGAACCTTTAGAGAGTTGTAATCTTTTTTTCTGGTAGAGGGTCTTGCCTTGATGTTGATTTCTGCTGACTGATCAGAGTGGTATTTATTGAAGGTGGAGGTGAGTGTGGCAAATTCTTCATATAAGACATCAATGCATTTGCCGTATTTATTGACTCTTCCTTTCATGAAAGATTGCTCTTTTGTGATACTGTTTAATAGCATTTAGCCACAGAACTTAAATTGGTATCAATTTGCTCAAATTCTGGCATTGCTTTATCAACTAAGTTTATCTAACATTCTAAATAATTTCAACAGTGTTTACAGTATTTTTAGCAAGAGTAGATCCCATATCTAGAAATCATTTTCTGCTTGGGTGTGGTAGTGCATGCCTGTAATCCCAGCACTCAGGGAGGCTGAGTCAAGAGAACTGCAAGGTTGAGCCCAGCTTGGGCAGTTGAGGACTAGCAAGACCCTGTCTCCAAGTAAGAAATGAGAAAAGGGGTGGGGATGTAGTTCAGTGCAAAGCCCCTGCCCCCACAATTTCTTTTTCTTTGCTCATCAATAAGAAGCAGTTCCTCAGAGTTTTGTCATGAGATTGCACCAATTCAGCTTACATCTTCAGGCTGCACTTCTAATTCTAGTTCTCTTTTTATTTCTACCCCATTTGCAGTTATTTACTGTATGAAGTCTTTAACCTCTCAAAATCATCCATGAGGGTTGAAATCAACTTTTTCCGAACTTTAAAAAAATGTTGATAATTTGACCTCTCCATAAATTGCAAATATTCCTAATGTCATTCTGAGTGGGGAATTCTTTCCAGAAAGTTTCCTATTTACTTTGCCCAGATCAGTGAGAGGAATTACTACTGATAGCGGCTATAACCTTATAAAATATATTTCTTTAATAATAATAGTTTAAGTTGAAATTAGTCCTGGAGTCTTGGGCTGCAGAATGACTGTTGTATTAGCGGGCCTGAAAACAATATTGATTTTGTATGTATCCATCAGAGCTCTTGGATGACTAGGTATATTTTCAAAAAGGGCTGATATTTTGAAAGGAACCTTTTTCTTTGAACAGTAGATCTCAACCTTGGGTTTAAAATATTCAGCAAACCATGTTGTAAACTAGTTTGCTGTTATTCCGTCTTCATTTTTTCTTTTATAAAGTGCAGGCAGAGTATTTTAGAGTAATTCTTCAAGGCTCTAGGATTTTTGAAGCAAACACTTCTTCAGGGCCCTAGGATTTTTGAAATGATAAAAGAGCACAAACTTAAAATCAACGGCTGCATTACCCCCTAATGAGAGAATCAACCTATCCTTTGAGGTTTTGAAGCTAGATAATGACTTCTCTCCTTTTTAGCCATGAAAGTCATAGATGACATCTTTCAGTATAAGGGTATTAGATCTATACTGAAAATCCATTGTTTGGTATCATCACCTACATCAATGAATTTACCAGCTTCTGCATTAGTACTTGCTACTTCTTACACTGTTACTAGACATGGGTTCTTTCCTTAAACTTCATCTACTATCCTCAGCTAGCTGCAGTCTTTTCTTCTGCAGCTCCCACACCTCTGTTCTTCATAGAATTGAACAGAGTTAAGGCCTTGCTCTGGATTAATTTTGGTTTAAAGGAAAGTTGAGCATTATTTGATATTCTGTTCAAGCCTCTAAAACTTTATCCATACCAGCAATAAGGCTATTTTACTTTCTTATCATTTGTATATTCACTCAAGCAGCAGTTTTAATTTCCTTCAAGAGCTTTTCCTTTGTATTCACAACTTGACTGTTTCTTTCATAAGTCTAGCTTTCAGCCCACCCTGGCTTTGACATGCCTTTCTCAAGTTAATCAGTTCCAGCTTTTGATTTAAAGTGAGAGACATTCCTTTCACTTAAACATTTAAGAGGCCATTGTAGGGTTACTAATTGGCTTAATTTTGATGTTGTGTGTCTCTGGGAGTAGAGATGCCCAAGGAGGGAGGGAGATGGAGTGATGGTGGTTGGTAGAACCTTTAGAACACACACAACATTTCTCATTTAAGTTTGGTGATCAATATGGGTGTGGTGTATGGGACCCCAAAACAATGACATATAATAGAAATATTAAACATCACTGAATACAGATTACCATAAGAGAAGTAATAATAATAGTGAAAAGTTTGAAATATTGCAATTATTACCAAAAGAGACACAGAGACATGAGAGGAGCACATGGGGTTGAAAATGCTACTGCCACAAACTGGCTTCATTCGTAGTGCTGATCTTCAATTTGTAAAAAAAATACAGTATTTGTGAAGTGCAGTACAATGAAGTGTAGTAAAACAAAGTATACCTGTGTTAATTTTATTAGATTTATGTTTGTTGACAATTTACAAAGTTATGTTAGTTTTGTACTTGTAGGAGAATTTTAAGCATGAAGAGTTTATTTCTACTATTTGAGCATATTTTAGTTTCATCAGAATTGAGATAATTTGTGAGCCCTCACATTTGGCGAAAAAATGTTTGCCTTTAGAAACATTCTTCCTGTGCTTATGTTTGAGAAACACTGATCTAGGCTGATTGACATTTTACAGGTGAGGAAAGCAAGTCTCATGAGTAACATCATGAGTATGGATAAAGCTGTGTTTTGAACTTCATAGTTTTGAAATTATTCTGGACTAATTAACAGTTTTTCATTATATATAAATTCATTTTTAAAAACATGTAAGTCTTCCTATTTTGGTTGTTCTTCATAATGATGCTAACAAAAACAATCTTTACTTTTTTTTTTTGGTACTGGGGATCGAACTTGGGTCCTTGCGCTTGCACAGCAGGCGGCGAAACCACTGACCTAAATCCCTGGCCAATCTTTATTTTTATATTTGTTTAATAGCTTATAATTTGGAAATGCTTTTATTTCCACTGTTTTTGTTTTGTTTGTGGTGCTGGAGATCAAACCTACATCCTCATATGTGCTAGGCAAGTTCTTTACCCTTGAGCCACATTCAGAGCCCTCTATGGTTTAAAAAAAAAATTTATAACAACCCTTAGAAATTGATTATTTCTATTTTCTACATGAAGGCGTGAGGATGGGAGATAGAAACAGATTTACTCAAGGTCACATTTTCTATCAAGTGACAGAACTGGAACTTGAATACATTGTTTTCAATTTTAATATTCTAGTAGGATACTAAAGTTTTTATCTGAAATTTTACATTATTTAAGTAATTTTTAAAATGGTATTTATTCAAGTCTGATGATTGTCCTGCCCTGGCATTGTATCTACTGTTTTCTTGCAAGTTACATTTAGACTGTTTATTATTTGTGTTACATTTATTAGTAAGATGAACATTAGATTCTTAAATTTTTGATTCCATGCAGTTTGTTTCTGTAATCTAAGGGTTTTGTTTAATCCAGTATGTTGTTTACTTTTTTTAATAGGTCCTGACTGCTCTTTGAATGTTCCATCTACCGAGTCTTACTGGATTCTACCGAATGTTAAGCCCTTCAGTCCTTCAGTAGGTCGAGCTTCACACAAAGCAGTTTTACATGGGAAATTTATGTGGGTGATTGGTGGATATACTTTTAACTACAGTTCTTTTCAAATGGTCCTAAAGTAAGTATTTATTTTCATATCTTCATAGCCTATATTTTTAGAATTCGATTTTCTTGTGTTAAAAAGTTGGGTTTTTTTTGGTATCGGGGATCGAACTTGGAACCTTGTGCTTGCAAGGCAGGCACTGGAACCACTGACCTAAATCCCTGGCCCCAAAAGTTGTTATTTTTATAATAATATCTGTTTGCTAAATGGGATTCATTTGGGAATATCTACTCAATTTATCCATGATCAATTATTTGTCATTGTATGTACATTTGTGTAGAAATTTCCTTACCTCTCCAGGATGCTTTAATAAATAAATTCTAGGTAAGAAAGTATTAACTTTACATAAAGTCCTGTGTTTATATCTATGTTTGGCATAAGAAATCCCGTCACCTTTTACATTTTCAGAATGAGGTGTAATTGTATATGTGCTGCTGAAGCGAGCACGAGGTGTAATTGTATATATAAAATACTTTCGGTTTTTTGTGAAAATTAAGCTTTTGATTTATTGAAAAAGAATATGTATATTAGATAATTAATGACATTAGAAAATATAAATAAAGTGCATATTTATACTTATATGTCTAAGATTATATCATTATAAACTGTGAACCATCAGATTAGAAGTAAATTTATTGTTTTCTCAGGTTAGAGAATTTTTTCATCATTCTGAAAGTAGTTCAGATATAGGTAAGGATATTTAAACAGCATTTAGAAATGATAATATCACTGATCACTTTATTCATCTTCTGGAGTAGAATTTATTTTTAAGGAGCCCATGCATGCTAGCCATGCACTCTGCCACTGAGCTACATCCATAGCCCTAAAGTAGAATTTAGTTGGAGTGTAGATGTTACACTTTAAGATAATCATTCAGTAAATAATACAAAAGTTTTCCGTATTAATGTTGGTTAAATTAGAAAGAGAATTATCTTGCGGAATGTATACACATTAACATTAGTGAAAATTAACATGCAACATAGGCATGACTATTATTTATTTATGGGTTTTTTTGGGTACGGGGATCGAACTCAGGACCTTGTACTTGCAAAGCAGGCAGTGGCATCACTGAGCTAAATCCCCAGCCCATTTGTATTTGTTTTTTGAGACAAGGTCTCACTATGTAGTTCAAGCTGGCTTTGAACTCATTATGTAGCCCAGGTGGGCCTTGAACTCACAATGATCCTCCTGCCTCGGTATTGCAAGGGCTGGGATTACAGGTGTGTGCCACCATGCTCGCCTTGAACACTTACTATATCCTTGGTACCTGGGATATATCAGTGAGTGTAACAAATTTCCTTGTTGTAGTTAGTGAAGAAAAACTGGCAATGAAAAAATGAGTATGCTTACCAAAGTAATTTATATATGTACACATTTATACATACATAGGTAAATACATAGGCAGGTAAAGCAGGGATGTGTAAGTAAAAGAGTGAAAGAAGAGGGTCACAGTTAGGAATGCAGTCGACAAAGCAGGGCTATTTATGAGAAAGGTAAAGACTAAGCAGAAACTCGAAGGAGGTCAGGCCATTGGCACTGCTGTAATCTGTAGGTACAGAAAAGAGCCAGACCAGTGAATGCCTCAAGGTAGGAGTGTTTTTAAGGTATACAAGTAGCAACAAGGAGGCCCATCTGTTTGTATAGAACATATAAAAGGGAAGCATGAAATCAGAGGGATAATAGAGGAGGAAGACAGATCATGTAGGATGTTACAGATCTTTTGAGTCAGGGAGGGTTTTGAATATGCTTTGACTAATATTTCAGAAGAGTCACTGTGGCCACTCTGTTGAGAATATATGGGGTTGAGAGGAAGGGTAGAAACAGTGATTGAGTTAGAATGAGTTTTAGCTGGAGAAGACCAAAAACTGAATCTTAGACACTGTATCACTAGGATGTTGGGTAGAAGAGGAGAAAGTAGGAAAGGACTGAAAAGGAGTGACCAGTGAGGTAGGAAAACCAAAAGCATGCAGTGTCTTCACAGGCAAGGGAAGAGAATATATGAGGATTAAAAGGTGGCTAACAACACTAAATGCTGATGATTAACTATGTCAAGGAAATGAAGACCAAAAAGTGGCCATGGATTTAATAAGAGGAAGTTGAACTTAACAAAAACAGGTTTACTGTAGTGGTAGGGTTAAAAGACTGACTAGAGTTAGTTTAAGATAATGGAAAGATTGGTATGGGTGGGGACTATAAAGAAATTGGCAGTGAAGAATAGGGTAGTAGCTTGAAGGTGGAGTGAGGTCAAAAGTTTTTAAAAAATATGTTTGCGTCCTGGTGACAGTTATCTAGTTAGACAGAAAATGGTGATGTAGGATAGAGACAGGAGGACTACTGGAGTGCTGTGGGATCCAGTGCTGAAAGGTTATGTATAGCAGGCATCAGCAAACTAGAGTTGGGGCCCAGGTTCTGAGAACTAAGAATTTTTTTTGTTTGTATTTTTTTAATGAGTTATGAAACAAAGAGGAAGACTGAAACCAATATGGCTGGCAAAGCCTAAAATATTTCCTGTCTGGCCCTTTACAGAAATAGTGTACTGAGTCCTAGTTTATGGTAACTTGGTGGAAAGCATTATGTTGGCTGCAGATACCTGGGAGGTAGGTAGATTTAGTGGTGTGAGTCTGTGGAAGTTATATTCTGACTATATTTTGTCATCTGTATCATACACATCTGTCTTGTAACTCTAAGCTAGGAAATGTTAAGCAATGCTGAAAACCATTTTGGTAACTCACATGTCTTGTGAAGGGGCAGTTTCTTACCTTTCCTAATGAACTGGAGGAAGAAAGAGAAATAGGACAATTGATAGTGAGCTTCTTAAAATAGTACTCTTGTTTTATTAAAAACTTTTTTTATTAGTACATGTTTGCTGTACATAGTGATCACACTCATCATCGGCGATTTGTACGTGTGTATAACGCATCTTAGTTCTTTTGACCTCCTTCCCCTCTCCTCCCTCCAAACCTTCTTTCCCTTCCCATACACAAAAGCTCTATTTCCATTTTTATCTTTCGATTCTTTTTTCTTTAAATCTCTTTTCCTTTCCTTCCCCCTCACTCCCCCGTCTCCTATTTCTTTTCCCATTTAAACAGATTTTTCCTACTACTAAAATCTGTCCTCTGTTTTGCTCCTTATTTATACTCCTGTGTTAGTACTCTATTTCTTGCCTGGTTTTATACTCTCATATGTTTTAGCAAATTAAGATTTGGGGGTATAGTGCTAGTTCAATTGGAATGCTATTAACTAAGCATTTGAGATCCATACTTTAGAACTTCTGTTTTCGTATGTAAGACCAGTCGAAAAAATTAGTTATTTTTGTATCCATAATCCAAGAATAACTTATTTTTATACTATTGGACTTATTTTGCTTAATTTAAAAAATTATCAGTAAATAAGTCATTTTTTTTACAGGAAATAATATATTTCTTGGTTAGTTTATATAATGCTAAACTAATTGTGTGAAGAAGAAACATGAATACTTAAAGCAAATGGTTATTGTAAAAATGGAAAGAATTTTCATTCATTTCCAAGAAAAGCTGTTTTTTTCAAACTTAAAAATACAGAGGAGCTCACTATTTTTTAGGTTAACTAATTGATTGAAGCCAATTAAGCAAATTAATTCTAGTACTAATGTCCTACCCCAGTTCATGTAAATTATCCACTAAGGAATTGAATCCTAATTTATTAGAGTTGGTACTTGACTGAATGCTTAGTAAAACTTTCTAATATTGTGTATGAAATTATTAGTTTATTAGTTATAATTCTTTTCAAATTTAGTGAGAATTTGTATACAAGAAGAAAAGCATATGAAATTAAGAAAATGAATCTTAGCTTATGAAGTTCTTTTCTTGCTTTTAGTTATAATTTAGAAAGCAGTATATGGAATGTAGGAACTCTATCGAGAGGACCTCTCCAAAGATATGGACATTCTCTTGCTTTGTATCAGGTATGACTTCTGCTTTTGTAATTTTCGTCAGTTTTTTTTAAAGAGTTTACCTTAGAGGGAAATTACTAAATCTCAGATTTCTTTCAAACACTTAATGAGAACAATAAATAATTATGAATCACAATAATGAGATATATGAGCTATTTTATCAAGAGTGGGTTTAGTGGGTTGTAGTACAATTGCCCTTTAGACATGTAAATAAAGAGAGCGTGACTTTTTGTCAGTTTAAATCTAGTCATTAGTCACTTTTTAAAAATTATGTTAATTACACATAACATAGAATTTACTTTTTTTTGGTACCAAGGATTGAACTCGGGACCTTGTGGTTGCAAGGCAGGCAGCAGCACCACTGAGCTAAATCCCCAGCCCTTGGAATTTACTGTTTTAACTATTTTTAAGTGTACAGTTCACTGGCAGTCACATTGTGCAACCATCATCGTCATTTCCAGAACTATTTTCATCTTGCAAAACTGAAGCAAAATTTTCATTTTTCCCTTCCTTAATTCTTGGAAACTTATCAATCTGCTTTCTGTCTCTGAATTTGACTACTCTAGGTACATCAAATGAATGGAATCCTGCAGGATTTGTCTTTGTGACTGGCTTGCTTCCCTTAGTATAATGGTTTCAAAATTCATCTTGAAAAAAAAAAAAGATTCATCCTGACTGTAGTATGTGTCAAGAATTCCCAGGGCTGGGGATTTAGCTCAGCGGCACTGTACCTGCCTTGCAAGTGCAAGGTCCTGAGTTCAATCCCGGGTACAAAAAAAAGAGAATTCCCTTCCTTTTTGAGGCTGAATAATATTAAATTATATGTATATACCATTTTTGCAAATCCATCCATTTGTTGATGGACACTTACATTGCATCCCCTTTTGGCCATTGTAAATAATGTTTCTATGAAAAGTGTGTACAGCTACTGGTTTGATTCTTTCAGTTCTTCTGGGTGTATACTCGAGAGTTGAATTGCTGGATCATATGTAAATCTGTTTAATGCTTTGAGGAACTTCCATACTGTTTTTCCACAGTGGCTGCGCTATTTTATATCCCTGCCAGCAGCATACATGGGTTCCAGTTTGTTCACAGCCTTGCCAACACTTAATGTTTTGTGTTTTTGCTTTCCAACAATAGGTCTAATGTGTGTGAAGTATTATCTCTTTGTGATTTTGATTTGAATTTATCTAGTGATTAGTGTTGTATAGTTTTAAGTACTTATTGGCCACTGGTATATCTTCTTTTGAGAAATAGCTGTTCAAGCCTTTTGCCATTTTTGAATTAGCCTATGTTTTTATTAAGCAACAGTTCTTTTTTTAAAAATTAATTTTATTGGTACATTTTAGGTATACAATATAATGACATTCATCCTTGGATATTTACACCTTTACATAATCTCACTTGGTTCTTATTTTTTCATCATTCCCCTGCCCTCCTTTTAACATCTCCATCCCTCCCTATTTACAAAGATTTTGTTTCCATTTTTTCATTTTCTCATATCCTATTTCCTTCTTTCCTTTCCCCTACCCCTCCTACTACCCCTTCCCCTTTGCCCCTTTTCTTCCTATTTCACATTACCTATTATACCTTTTA